TTGTTTATGCAATTTACGAAATTATATTTGATTTATATGAGTTAATTTAGACGTAATGCACATTTTTTTTTTGTTTATAGACAGTTATTTCCTTTTCATTGGCAATTTAATGCACTGCATTATTTTGCTCATTGCGCCCTCCTGTGGCTTCGGGAGACAAGCCAAAAGTTTTCTTCAGACCTATTTAATCTGCATGTAAAACATTAGAAATTAGATATTTGTTTAATTTTTATTTTGTGTTTGACTGTTAAAACAAAAAAATATTTTTGTTTGTCTCAGTAAATTGGGTTAATTTAAAAATACAGTGGTTAAATTTAAACGTTTTTTTCTATTGCTCTTTGTTTAAAAAAAAGGTTATAAAAAATGTCAATAATTATCGATACCGAACGATATTAAATATTATATCATTGATACATGTTTTAGCTATATCGCCCAGCCCTAGTTGTAATAAAAATGTAAGCAATATACCGATTGTAGGTCTCTAAATCTAAACAAATTGTAATCATATCACAGTATGTTTTGAGGTCCAAATTACAAGCCTTTTGTTTTACACACTGACAAATGTTTGCTTTTGCATATCATGCTTGAAAGACATATGAAAAGTAAAACTAGTTCAGTTTAAAACATTCCTTTATAAAAATCCTCAGGATAATGAAGAACTGGTTTAAAGAGTTGATGATATCAGATGTTAGATTCACATCTTACTTAGTAATAATGTAACTGGCAGTGCTGCAGTGACAACAACTAAACCATTGTACCGCCTACATTACATGCTGTCTGTTCAATTAACAAAAAAATCAGCCATTATGTGAAGGTTTTGATTTATTTGGAACAAAGGCTCTGTCTCTTACCATTGAATAGTGTGTGCTTGAAAGAAACAATATAGCACAGAAGATTTCACGGGTCATTCTCAGAGCCATTTGTGAATAATGCACAGAATACTGTATTTACATTATTCACATCAAACTTTAAAATAAAACACTAATTTTATTACCTAACAGGAAGGGTTCTGTCCCCCTTGCGTCGGTCCATCTCTCTCTGAGGAACTGGATACCATCTGAAGTTGAGCTTCCAGTTGAATCCCCCATAGGTCATATCTGAGCCGGCCATGTACTCGAATGTCTCATCACTGATGACATCAATGATTGGACAGACCACAGCCCTCCTAGAATGACAAACAAAAATAACCCATTCACCTTCAGGCCAGTGTTGCAGTGGAAAATAGGGTATTTTGACAAGAATTGCTTCAATTTTTTAACATTTCAAATTGTTATCAAAATGTACAGCCTTACATAAAGGATGCCTACAAACAAAGCATGAGAAAGCTAAGAAAAAAAATTGAGGGAGAAAAAAAAAAAAAGGAATAGTTAAAAACTTCCCTCTCTGCCAAATATAATACCTGCTTTTTAGATTACTTTAAGATTAGTAAATCTTTAAAGCATTCCCATGATGCATACCTTTTCATCAACAAACATACACCTATAGAATGGCTCAAATGGTCATACCACCCTAAGATCCTGGATTCAGATGAATTTCAGGTTTAAACTGAAAGCTTTAGCTAGTTAAAACACTTACCCCGCTTTCACAGACATGGCTTAAGCCTAGTCCCAGACTAACATGCATGCCTGAGCTGTTTTAGCTGAAAGAAACTTGCACTGACAGATCTTAAAAAATATCAGTGCCATTGTTATGTATCAAGATTCACACCAGTTTTTTTTTTTCTTTCTAAGGAACATTTAGGCTATAAATGATACTTAAATGTCCTAATTGAACTATGGCCTAAACCTGGTTTATGGCTCGTTTCCACTGAGCGGTACGGTACGGTTCGGTACAGTACAGTACAGTACAGTACAGTAGTGCGCCGCACATCGCCCGCGACGACGATCATCGTGTCAGGACCGCTTCCCACGTATCGACGAGGACACGAAATGTTCAGTAGACTTTTTGCTTTAAATGAATGGTTATTGTCATGGTGTAATAATTGGAATCTTTTCTGGGAGAGTCCTAGGCTTTTTCGCGCTGATGGCCTGCACCCCACCAGAGTCGGAGCGGAACTCCTTTCGGACAACATCTCCAGGACGCTACGCACCATATGACTAGTAAGTCAAATCTCAAATAACTGCCCTGATGACTTTTGTTCTACTGATTTTACTATTAAATGATAGAAGTACTTGCGCTGTACAATTGTAATGTGGTGTTTGGGTTCAGCTTCCTGGGGGAAAAGTTCACTGGTCCCTTGCTGAATATATAGGCTTTGCTCTGCAGCTGAATGGCTCTGCCTTCACTGTGGGTGGCGTGGAGGAGGAACACAGCACCTCTCCAAAGTCCTCAGTCGTCATGCCTACCAAGTCTGAACCTGTTCACGTCATGCCTGCCAAGCCACAGCCTTCTCATGTCATGTCTGCTACGCCAAGTTCTGCTCACGTCATGCCTGCCAAGCCAAAGCCTGCTAACGCCACGCCTGCTACTCCAGGACCTGCTCACACCATGCCAGTTAAGTCAAAATTTACTCATGTCATGTCCACCATGTTAAAACCTGATCACGTCATGTCTGCCAAGCCAGAGTCTGCTAACGTCATGTCTGCTACCCCAGGGCCTGCTCACGTCACGTCTG